TGGCTCCCTTCATAGGAGTCAAACCTCCAGCTTAATCCAGGGCCCCTCCCAGACAGGCCCCCGGCCCTGTTCTCCCCACCTGCTGGTCTTCTTCTTCAGCCTGGCTAATTCGAGGAATGGGCTTCTTAGGAATGACCAGAAAATGCACAGGGGCCTGAGGAGCCACATCACGGAACACTAGACACTGGGAGCAGTGACAGGTGAGAGATCACTGTTACGTCACCAGACCCAACGGCACCGATGAAATGCTCAAGAGGGCTGGGCCCTATGGGGATCTTCACCTGCTGATCTTCATACAGAATGTCCGCTGGGAGGCTGCGATCCAAGATCCGGGAGAAGATGGTGGGCGCTGCTCCTCCAGGAGCAGCTTTCTGAGCCCTGGCCACTTCACTTCCGTCAGTCATACCTGCATTGCCCCGGACCTGAAGCTGGGGTCGGGGGAACCCAAGGGAGAGAGCTAGCCGTCATTTTCCCATACGCTTGGCTGGGGCTGGCAGAAGCTGGGCTCCAAGAGTGTCTCCAACTTCATTCTTCTGAGAGCCTATCAGTGGTTCCACGCTAGGGCAAGTCCCTGAATTTCAGAGCCTGAGCAGCAAAGGGCGGGCCAGGCGATGGTGGGCCCGGTTACAGAACACTCAGTAATTACTGTGTAGGATTTAGGAGTGCAATTGATTCCTGCAAATGTGATTAATCTAGCATGGTACAGGTAAAGGGACCCAGAAATCTGTAACTCCAGCAGCTGGGATGGGGAGGCAGCGGGATCAATAACTCGTCATTCTTAGCCACACAGGAAACTCTAGGCTAGTGTGGGAGGCATAAGACACTGTCCCCAAAAGCCAACGAAACAACACGGAGGTCTCAGTTCCTATGCTACCACTGAATACATCAGATACATCCCTGAGAGCTTCAAAGAATGGTTTGAATCCTGTCCTGAGAGCTTGAAGCTCTTTACTGTGTTTCCATTTATTTCCACTGTGCGTTTTCTGATCTTTAAGCCTTGCCACTTGGTTTATGTTTTTAATCTATCTGTCCTATCGGACACTGGCTGCTCATTTCTTTGGGTGTCACATTGCATTTCTTATTGTGCAGCTTTCCTGTTGTTGCTATGCAGGGCAGGCTGCTGAAGCCCTGGTAATCCTGCTGCCTCAGTCTCCCAAAAGCCGGGATTATAGGCATGTGCCACCATGCTCGGCTTCTTACACTGGATTTTAATTCCAGTAACTTGAATCAGCGGAGTTATGTAAGAGTTCAGCTAAGTGAACTCGGCTCTACCAGAGGGGACAGGTAGGAGGTAGGACTACCCGTTTCCCACCGGTTCAGAGAAGGCCAGAGTCAGTGCTTTACACTGAAGCGAAACTGGGGGATAAATTAAATCACTGTTGGAAAATGTGGAAGACGAAAGAGCAACGCTGGCGCGCATTACACGGCTAGAGGTCCGAGAACAGCCAGCTAGCTCCCAGAGGGAGAGCTCACTTCCTGGAGGGGGCACCGCAGAGGCAGGCTGGAGCACGCTCCCGGCCAGCACCACCAGCTCGGTCCCAACCGGGATGCCCCCCGGCTGTTCCCGGAAGCGGTCGCCGCTAGATCGCTTCTCTCGCGGATTTGACCGCAGAGTCCCTGAAACCGACCCTCGGGAGAGGCAGTGGCCCCGCAATGATGCGCGACGCGCGTGCAGGCCCCGGAACGCGCCAGTGCCTGCAAGCCCCCTGGTCCCTCTGGCTGCTTCTCACCTGCGCCCCCCGGGGCCCCGCGGCCGCCAGGGTTCTGCGCGCGGTGCGCAAACCCACTGCCAGCAGCACGGCCGCAGCCATCTTCCCGGAGCCGGCCGCCTTGCAGGCGCAGCCCCATTGGCCGCGTCCGGCTGGGGGCGGGTCCCGCCGCGCAGCCCATTGGCTGCCTCTGCCAAAGCAGGGACAGTTTTTGTCTAGTAGCGTGAAAATTCTTCTTCCATTGGATCCCTCCTTAGTTTTGCTCTGAGATACATTCCCACTCCATTGGAAGAACTAAGTCCGGGGGTGGGATTTTTTTCCTAATGGGCTCAGGTTCACCACCTTGACCGAGCTTCGGTGGAGGTTCCTGAGTGGGTGGGACTTGCTCGTCCTCCGCCTGTCCCTTTTAACTCTGGCACTGGTGGGGGGAAGAGGGCGGGGCCTCGCCACCTGCTGCACAAAAGGCTAAATGTAGCGCAGACCCTGCTCCGCATTGGCCAGGAGGGCGGGGCTCTGAGGACATTCGTCGCTTACTGGCTCCAGAAACCACATGGGCGGGGCTAAAAATGAACTGGGACGGGGCTTTTTAACTATAGAATAGGTACCTATTATTATTATTATATTATTATTATTATTATTATTGAGATTTTTCTATTCATTTTACATACCAACCACAGATTGCCCTCTCCTCCCTCCAACCTAACCATTTCTTGTCAATTTCAGCTCTTTGACCACTTCAAAGATTTAAAACATATTATATGAACGTTATTTTTTAAAGTTTCGGTCAATTTGTTTTATGTTCTTGTTCCCACTTACATCAATATTATGCAATCAGTTTTCAGGGCATTTTTTCCCCTTAAATGGGTGAGGATAGGAGCATCCTGTGTATACTATACTATGTATCACAGTTTTATTTTCCTTTTCACTTCATAAGTGGTGTGTAGTGCCACTAGCTCTGTGAGGCAGGTTTGCTTTGCATACATTAAATTTTTTATTGTATATGTGTTTCTGCCTGTGATATGTGCATGTCACCGCAAGTGTCCATGAGTGCTAAGAAGGCATAGGATGACCTGGAGCTGGAGTTATAGGCTGTTGGGAACCACCTGATGTGGGTGCTGGTAGCTGAGTTCCAGTGCTCTCCAAGAGCAGTATGTGCCCTTAACTGCTTAGCCATCTCTTCAGCACCTAAAGATTTATGTATATGTGTGGGAATGTGCAAGTCTGCATGGGTGCAAGAGGGTGTCAGAGATTCCTTAGAGCTGGAGTTACATACAGGTGGTTGTGAGCCACCAGATGGGAACCAAATTTCAGTTCTCTATAACAGCAGCAAACACGCTTAAGCACTAAATCACCTCTTCATTTCTTTATATTTTGAAATAAGAAACAGGGTATTCCACTTGAGAGGCAGAGGCAGAAGAATCACTCATGAGTTCCAGGCCCGCCTGGTCTACATAGCAAGACTCAGTCTCAAAATACATCAGTCTCCCCCAAAGCTCATCACCTGGTGAGTTATAGTCTGGCACAGTAGTGTAAGTTCCCCTTATAGCTTTAGAGCCTGTTTGGTTTTGCACACGCCTTGGTATGTAAATGCCCAATAACTGCTGAATATTTGGTGTTTCACTGTTCCACTTTCTTATATATAGTAATAAATGGCATGTTTATTATTCTCTTATTTTTCAAATTAGTATAGTTTACATACTGTGCAATGACTACATACTGTGTCTCCAGTGACCTGATCACAGTAACTCTTCTATTAATTGAACTGTTTTTATATGATTATCACAGCACATACAATCAATGTTGAGAAACTTCTGGAATTAGCACACTCTCTTTTACACAGATATATTGTTAGAAGGCCCTTTCAATTCTTCCCAGGGTGGATATGTGATCATATGATTTTGCCCTGGGGTCCTAGAAATCTAGGCTGCATTCCTTCCTTTGCAAAGGCAGATGGCCTTTCTAAATATCAGGAAATGTGGGATCACCTTGCCCCTGAGCCCTAGATGTGAGACGCTCCAGAGAAGGGCAAGAGATCAGCGGAGCCGGGATGAGAAGAGGGTAGAAATCTCGGAAGCACTAAGGTTTGGAGCTGGACATTTCTTTGGGTTTTCATAGAGTGCAGGACAACACAGGTTATTCTTGTCTTATAGCTCTAGCAACTGAGGCCCCAAGAGGGAGGAGCCCAGCATCACCAGCCCGCCAGTGTCAGGCCATCACCGAGGGAGTTCGGTCACTCCCTGGCACTCACAATTTCACACTGACCACAGCCGCTTTCTTCCACACGCTTGCCCTCGCCTGCAGCTACCCCCTGACCGCTGCATGCTCCGCAGACCCCAACCACTGTCTCCTGAGTTGCAGCCCACGGCAGCACAGCTGCTCCCGAGCCCCCTAGAGATTTCTCATTCCCCGATGGCACTCGTTCCCTGGCATCACGTCTCCCCGTGTGTAGCAGCGTCCCTTCACTTCTCCTGGCCTTTCTTTTGTCTTCTTTTCCTCACTGTCCTGACACCATCCCACCAGCGCCCATTAGTCTAAATAGTTTTGCCTCTCTTCTCTAAGCGGATTCTCACTTCCAACCACACTAAATCCTAAACTTTGCTCTTGCATGATTTTCTCTGACTCCCCACGAGCCTTCCCCAGCACTCACCTCTCTCTTCCAGTCTCTTACTCCCCACTAATCCCTTTCTTGCTTCACAGAGGATATAGATGTCACCAGAGAGGAACTTCCGGGAGGCCCGACTCCCTGCAGCTCACACTCCCTTCTTTGAAATGTCTTACGAAATGAAGTTTCTCTCCATCAGAGCAAATACCTTCACCTCGGCCTTGACCTCATCCCCTCTTTCCTCCATGTCTGGGATCTTGTCCCATCAAGCATCTCTCCTCCCTTCTGCATCCTTCAGGATCTTTTTGTATATGGGCCTCTTCCACTTCTTACCCAAGCTCCCTGAAGAGACTCCTTCAAACTCATGGCTATTTGGTGTTTACCTCCACCATGCCCATGTGCAACCACACTGTCCAAAGCCTCCAATGACTTATTAATGGCAATGTCTTTGCCTTGTGGAACCCCAGCTACATCTGAAATCCCTGCTTATTCTATTCTTGAAAACTCTCCTTCCTTGGCTCTCTAGAAGCTAGTCTCCTGGTATCAGGGCTGGCAGCTTGGATGCAGCCATGATAGAGGAAGGTGGCTGGAGCCAGCCTCCCTCTGCTTGGTGCTGTCTCTTGCCTGTAGTTAGAGCTGACTCTAAATTGAGTCTTGACGCTACCTGTCCCATAGAGAGCCAGGTCCGATTCTATTGGCTTCCACTTTATTGTTGATCTTGGCCAGGCTCAAAAAGGCCTGCGCCAGTTGTTGACAGTGTTTGTCCCTGGAGGAGGGAAGAGCAGAGGTGAAAGGGTCAGGGATGGGGGTTAGATTTAGGGCCAGGCTGGAGGTTACTTGGACCAGGGGGTGCAAGGGATCTAGGGTGAGAACTGGGGTGGCCAGAGACACCCTGCGCCTGGAGGGCCTCAAGGTCAGACTTGGTGAGGATGGCATCTCGGAGGGCAGGCATCTCTGCAAAAGGCACATAGTCTGCTCCTGGGGGTGGAAAGCAGTGCAGGCGTGGGCTGTGGGGCGGGCTGAGGGCGGGGGACCTGGGGAGGATGGGGCAAAGGGTGGGAGTGCCTTTCTGCCTGGCCTTCTGACTACAGACGCTGGCACGGTCCCCTGTCCATGTTCTCCCCTCACCATAAGGTCTCCCTCCTCTTCGCCTGGTCTCTTCATTCTCGAAGAAAGTCTCGTGTTCCTCCCAGCGCCGGTCACAGGCCGCACAGAGGAAATTGGACTCAAAACAGCTGCAGCAACAGCCTAGGGCAAAAGCGCACCCAGGAGAATATAAGGAACCAACGGCACCCCCGTGAGCTGAGACGCTCTTGCCTGGTCTTCATCCCATATTCACTTCTCCCCACCCAAACACCCCTTTGCAGGAGAAGTTACCGCGGTGCCTGCAGGGGTGGGCTCCGGTGGCCGCGTGTTCTTCGTGAGTATGTTTACAGCGACATTGGGCTCTCCAGGCTTTGGGATCGAAGGTGGCCCGTCTCTTAAGCCAGAACTCACCTACCTCCTCTGGGCGTGACGGGATGAAACAGAACATGAGGCACCTGCACTGACTCACGCTGCAGGGCACCGACAGATCTGGGAGGGTGGGGGAGGGTGGAGGGTTAGACCCGCCCCTGGAAGGACCTGGCCTCCCCTCCCTGTTCATCTCTGTCTCCCCCTCCAAGACAGGAAAGAGCACAGTAGCCCCTTCGTACCTGACAAGTATGGCAACTTCTTTCCTACCTGAGATGATCTGGTGTTCTTTCAACAAATGTCCACAAAAGCATTTGGACTCATCTCCAATTCGGAAACAGTCCCATAAGTAGTGGGGGCAGCGCCAGCCAATATAGAGACCTACATATGGAGGGATTAATCGGGAAAAGTGAAAAGGGAAAAAAAAGAAACCCCAAGCTCCCTACAAGTGTTCTGATGGATCCCCTGGAGTGGGGGTGGAGAACTCACCACCATAGCCTGCTGTACCTGTCTCTAATAGGGAGCCCTCACTTCTGGCCCTTAGACTTTTTTTCATTCAAGTTTTGTTATCCCAAAGTACCGTCAGTTCCCTTCCTATCCCAGGATCCACCCCATGTCTGTCAGCCTGAGATAACCGAAGGTGGTCTCCAGTTTCAGAGCAGGGGACTCTAGAGGACACTGGAGATGAACACCGGGCTCTGGTGATTGTCAGTGTCTTACCTCCTCCTATCTCCATGCTAGAGTCCAACCTTTCTCAAGTGCTTATGGCAAGCAAGAGAGAAGCTAACTGACCAGGTGGACAGGAGGCGATGGGGAATGGCTCCTCTTGGGGATTACTAGGGAAGGACCCTGGAGGAAAGGTGGAAGTTGGGCAGACTTGGTGCCAGGAGGCGGGAGGAGGCTTGCCCCCTTACTCTCCAGGTTGACACCTCCATCAACCCTTCTGTGTCCCACTGTTGTGTAACTAACACCCTCTGTGATCCCGAGAAGGGTGGCTGGTGGCTGACAGCCCCCCCCAGAGATCAGGAGAAAGGGCCAGGCCAGAAGTCAGAGCTGCAAGAACAAAGAAATCTAAGTTCCAAGGAATGGAAAGGGAATGTGGAAAGGAGAGGCTAGTGTTCTCGAATGCAGGCACGAGCAGGTGGTTACAAGATCCTGGCTTTAGCAGTGGGGGCTGAAAGAATCCAGTTTCATGGCCAGTCCCATCACAAGTGAAGGGCAGGGCTAGGCAGATGTGACAGGAGAACTGGACAGCACTGTAGCGATATTTTGTGTGTGATCTAACAGATAAAGCTTGCCTGAAGATCAGAGGGCAAAGCCAGTCACTAGGTAGCCAAAGAGGCCAGGCAGTGGTGGCACACGCCTTTAATCGCAGCGTTAGGGAGGTAGAGGCAGGTGGATATCCGTGAGTTCAAGGGGACTGCAGCTGTAGGACTCTTATGCCTGTGAGAGGTCTCAACAGAAATGTCACCCCATTCTAAAAGTTGTCCCTGGCTTCCCACAAGAGAAGGGTCTATATTTTCATCCATATCGCTAATCCTGCCATAAAAGAGATGCCAGAGAAGACAGACTGCCTGACTGAAAACAAACACGTTCCTTTAGTGGTATAACCCACAATTGTGTGTCTCAGGCCAGGTGTCCTTATCTTACCCATAGTTCCTAAGGTTCTAAAACTTGTTGAGGTGTGCCTTTTGGCTTGGTTGCCTCCAGTGCCAGGACCCTGCTGTACCCGGAATGTTTGGTTGAGAGCACAGGGAGAAGCCAAGTCACAATGGGGGTGTGGGAGCCAGGGCTCCACTAGAGGAATTCTGAACTCTACAAAAGCGGAGCACAGTGGCAGAGCAGGTGATGTGCAGATATGAACCCAAGTCTGCCCGGAGATCAAAGCTTGGCCAGTCTGAGCATGGACGTGGGAATCAGTGTGCAGCCTTCAGATGAAGAGTTTGAATAGAGCCTGGAAAGAATACCTCAGATTCTATTATTCTATTCTATTCTATTCTATTCTATTCTATTCTATTCTATTCTATTCTATTCTATTCTATTCTATTCTATTCTATTCTATTCTATTCTAGCCTAGCCTAGCCTAGCCTAGACAGCCTAGCCTAACCCATTCTCTACCCTTAAAATGGTGAACCTGGCATCTGGCTCTGTATTCTACTTTCGGATTCCAAACTCTCTTCCTGTTAGAAGTAGACTAGGCAGGCAGAGAAGACATTATCTTGGGTGCCATTCTGACTCAGTACAGCTGCATGGCCATGCTTGCACATCAACTCTTGATTTCTAGAAGGTTTCCATACTGCATACAGCTGTTTTTACATGAAGGATGCCTCTCCATCTCAGACCTCTCCCGGGCTTCAGATTCACAGGGCCATCTTTCGATTGCATTCTCACTAGCATGTTCCATTAAACACTTACACAGTTTTCACCTCAAAACCTCTCAGCCTCTGTCCTCGGTTTCCCAGGTTTGTATGTGCCCACACCTGCTCTCACTTCATTCAGACAAGCCAAGAACCTAGGTGTCGCTCCAGGTATTTAACATTTCTTAACTTATTCTACACACGCAGTGATCCAATAGTCAGTTTTGCCTTGTCAGTGTTTCCTGAACCTCTCCATCTGTCTGTCTCTCCATCACCCAGCGACTTCTTCCTTGATTATTACCAGTGTTTCAGTGGCGTCTTCCTGTGACCAGTCTTGCTTCTCCCTCTACTCCTACTGCCAGAGTGATCGTTTAAAAGCACAGATCTGTTAGTCGTTGTCCTATTTTAAATCATCTTGGTGATTCTCAGGTGCCCTTGGGATAGAACTATGACTCCACATTGGCACGAAAATACCTGCACAATTCTCTGGTTCCGGAGCTGAGCTAGCGTCCCCCACCGACATTCTTGCACAAGAAAAAACACTACAGTGTCCTAAGGTTCCTCGTCTTGTCATAGCTCTTTTATTTTACTTAAAATTTTATTTTGACAGGCTCTTTTTTGTTACGCAGTCCAGGCTGGCCTGGAACTTACCATGCAGACTGTGATAGCCTCAAACTTGGGAGCCTCCCACCTCAGCCTTCCAAGTGCTGGGGTCACAGGCGTGCAGCACCCCACCCAGCTTGACTATCTCTTCGCACCCTCTTACAGATAAGTAGCTTCAGCCATCTTTCCTTCCAATGCTTACTGTTAGTCTAGTGCCCCCAACTGGGTACCCCTTTCCTCTGTCTCGGCATGACTCTGGGCATAGCAACTTGTTGCCTAAATTATAATGGTCATTTTACTTAAAGGCATTGCTTATCAGAGAGCATGTTGTCTGAGGGATCTTTGTTATTTATCGTTTCGAGGCGGGTCTCTCTGTGCAACTGAAGGACAAGCTTTATCCTTGAGACCTTCCTTGCCCCATTGCTTACACAACTAAAAATTGCTTGGCATATAGTTGGTGCATACTAACTGTTTGTTAAAACAATTTTGGTAAACTCTCACATTTTAGATTTCTCTGCACATCACATATATTCTTAGGGAGTCTTGACTCAAGATCTTCAACATCGGAAGGGACAGACCCCAAATATTTTTGTGTAGGATTGAGTACACAAACCACTTGTTTAAGCAGGAAAATGCAGACATTTAAAACAAAGGAGAAATACAGAGGTCTTGAAGAGTAAGGAGAGGGCAGGGGGATCTAAAAGAGTGAAGAGGGGACTGGACAGAACCTGCATTTGCAAGAAAAAAACAACAGTAATAGATGTTAACATAACTAGAGCCGGGCGGTGGTGGCGCACGCCTTTAGTCCCAGCACTTGGGAAGCAGAGGCAGGTGGATCTCTGTGAGTTCGAGGCCAGCCTGGTCTACAAAGTGTGTTCCAGGTCAGCCAGGAATGTAACACAGAGAAACCCTGTCTCGAAAAATCCAAAACCAAAACCCAAACCCAAACCCAAACCATAATTAAACAGAGATTTCACTATCAGTGGAAACTTGGAAACAAATAAGACTTAAAAAAAAAAAATAGAGGCGAAGGGGAGAGGATCCCTACATGGAGGTGGGGTGAGTAAATCACACAAAGGAGAAGAATACAGGATTTTCTATTGGCTTTATATCTTAGTCCTGTTGATGTAGTTCCATCATAAGCAGAACAGAAGTACAAAAAGCTTGAGCAAATGTAATACTTTCTATTTAATTCACTAGACAGTTCAGAATCACAGAGGATCAGAGTGGCCTTCCTACTGAGATTAAGAACCCTTATAGATGGTGAAACCCAATAACACAGGTAGACATGCTTACGTGCAGTGTGCCATGTGTTTACACAGCTCATCTGCACACCCATGACAGAGGTGCAGCTTCCACTCACAGGAAGTATGATTCCCGGAGTGTAGCTCAGTGGGTAGGGTGCTTGTCTAGCTTACACAAACCCCCAGCGCCATGTAAAACCAGCTGTGGTGGCACACACATGTAACTCTAGTACTCAGGAAGTAGAAGCAGGAGGTTCAGAAGTTCAAGGTTAATCTTAAAGGCCATCATAAACTATATGGGAAGTTTGAGGCTAGGCTCATGGCCTAGGCTACATGGGACCTTGTCTCAAAAGAGGGACACTAATTATGAGCTGTGACTTTAACTCAACAGGGTTTTAGGATTATCTTTCTTCTTTGGCGGGGACCCTCAAGGATTCTGGTTACTCAGATGGTCATTCAGAAGTGACAGTCTTTAATGGAGTCAAGGGACCAAAATCTTTTGCCATATCCATATGAGAATAAGGCTGCTAGAGACTGCCCAACATGCTAGGGTTGTTCTGGTATAGACTGTTTGGGTGCTAGATCTGGGGCTGGCCCTCAATTCTTCTGTTGATGACAATGTCAGTTACTTTAATACATCTATCTATTGCTGCTTGGACTTCATATGAAATCTCCACTTTTTTTTCAGGCCAGCCCACCTGCTCCCCTTCCAGATTCCAGACAGGAGGCATGGCCATTTCCACACTGAAGGGGCAGGTTCCCAAATCTGTTGGGTTGGAAGCTGTCCATGGGCCTGTTAGAGGGCTCTGGAAGGCCACCAGGGCTCACCTGTCTGGATGGCCTTCAGGGCTGAATCCTTTTCCCATTGGAAAAGATTTTTCACCCCAGCACCAAATTGTTCTCTGTTCACTGGCTTAGCCACATTCGTCAGCTCTGCCCGCTTAGCAGGGACCGCTGGGCGGCTTGTATAACCTGGGAAGACAAGGGCTGAGTAACCAGGGGCCAGAGAAAGGACCTTAAAACTAAGAGGAGCCATAGGTAAGAGTAACCCAGCCCCCCCCCCCCCCCCCTTCCTGGATCAGTCACAGACAGTGCCAGAGTCACAGGGACAGGGGGGAGGCAGGAACAACTACTACCAACTCTTTTCTCCTTCTTCTTGCTCGCATGAGGCTCAGGCTTGGCTGCACGAGCAGTGACGTCACTAGTACCCACTGTCAGCTCATCTTCCTCTGTTTCCTCCCACTTTGCAGATGTGTCCACGTCGTCCTGGGTGGAAGGTCCTGCAAAGGAGTACTTTGGAGATTGCTCAGATTCAGGGACCTGGGTCCGTGGACCTGCATCAGAATAAAGCCTACGGGAAGACGCAGGGACATCCTTTTGTGAGAGCTGAAGAGGATTGTTTCGGACCTTAGAGAAATGAATCTCATCTGTAGCGTCCTCCAATGGGATCTCGGTGATAGCTTTTTCTAGAGAGGTCACAGACTGGGGAGAATTTAAAAGGCTTGCAGAGGAACCCTGGGGCGATTCGGAAGGAAGCCTGGTGCTGTGGGACTTTAAAGTACTTCCAGAGACAGAAGGCTCCTGGAGGTCCTCAGAGACCTCAGTCTCGGGATTCGGCGAAAGAGATGTCAGAAAAAGGGTGTCGGTGGCAGGAGGCTGTGAAGATGTCTGTGAGCTGGAAAGCTCCAAGGGACTGTCAGGGCTAGTGGGCTCCCGTAAGTCTTCAGCAGAGGGGTTCTTTAAAGAAGAGCGTTCCTTTGCACCCGTGGTGGCCTGAGGATCTTCTGTGGTCTCATTTGCTTCCATCTAGTGGTAGAATAAGGTACAGGCTTCATTAGGTTGAAGTTGGAGGGTCTGCAAGTCAGGGCAGAGCCCCAGGGTTCACAGATGTCACTGGATGAGGACAAAATTATTAGTGGACCTAAGACATCAGAGGGAAGAAAGAAGAATTCTGGGTTTCAGGGTGCTGTGCCAGGAGGCTTACTCACGTGCCTCCCACGGCACACTACTGTAGGTTGGTAGGGAGCTGGAATTTAAAGATGGAAAGACAGAGCCGGGCAGTAGTGTCGCACGCCTTTAATCCCAGCACTCAGGAGGCAGAGCCAGGTGGATCTCTGTGAGTTCGAGGCCAGTCTGGTCTACAGAGCAAGATCCAGGACACAGTCTGGTCTACAGAGCAAGATCCAGGACACGCACCAAAACAACACAGAAAAACCTGTTTCAAACAAAAAACAAAACCAAAAAACAAACAAAAGAAGAAGGAGGAGGAGGAAAGACAGAGCAGTCAGAATCCCATCAGTAGCTGAGAGCAGAGGATCATGCCCCAGGAGGGAGCCCCAACAAGCTACTTGGCCAATTCAAGGGTAGAGTCTGGAGCATGTCTTAGGACCCTGGAATTATAGCCATGGAGTGCCAGAGTCTGAAGATGAAGCCCGAGTTGGGGTTGGCCTCCAAGAGTGCAGGAGAATGTCGCAGCGTGCATATCATGACTGTCTGTCCTCTGCTTTTGTCCAGGGACCACACACCTCCTTCCTTGGGCTCATTGATGTTCAAGGCTTCAACTACTTCCAGCTACATGCTCGCTCTCTCTCTCTCTCTCTCTCTCTCTCTCTCTCTCTCTCTCTCTCTCTCTCTGTGTGTGTGTGTGTGTGTGTATTCTCTCTCCCTTCTCTTTTTTTTCCCTCTCAAGACAAAGTCTTACTATATAGGCCAGGCTAGGTTTCTATGTAGCCCAGGTTGGTCTGAACTCCTCACAGGTCTCCTGCCTCAGACTCTTGAGGATGCTATTATAAAGGTGCCTCTCCATGCCTGGCTACCTCTGACTTCTTTTTTTTTTTTTTTTTTTTTTTTTTTTTTTTTTTTTTTTTTTTTTTTTGGTTTTTCGAGACAGGGTTTCTCTGTGTAGCTTTGCGCCTTTCCTGGAGCTCACTTGGTAGCCCAGGCTGGCCTCGAACTCACAGAGATCCGCCTGGCTCTGCCTCCCGAGTGCTGGGATTAAAGGCATGCGCCACCACCGCCCGGCCTACCTCTGACTTCTAACTCCACATGTCTAACTCAGATTTCTTCATGCCCTGTGCTTCAGATGCTCCATGCGAGGTATTTCCACCCGGAAGTTCCACAGGCTTCAGAACTGACTCTGGAGAAACACAAAACACCCCAGTCTTCCTCCCTAGCACCCATCTGCAACTGGAACTACTTTCAATCTTCCAAATGCTCCCCAAGTGTATCCTTCCTCTCTGTTCCCTCCCGTTTGTCCACGTTCTCATGATCTTCCTCCTGACTGTACAATAACACGGCCTCTCCACTACCATCCCCGGGGTATTTTCCACTCAAGTCTTTCGTTTATGAAACTTACATTTTACCAACAGCCAAAACCCACACTTTACTCAGGCACCATGCTCAGCATTGAGACCAGGTGAGCCTGGGAAAGAGACAATGTAACACACAGTGACAATATGAATGGCCCATCTCCAGGACACTGTGAAAAGGGAGGATGCCTAATTTACCCTAGAGAGATCCAAGAGGGAAGCTCTCTCTCCCCTTTCAGCAAGATCTTTTGAACACACAAGACATTCTGACTGAGCCTAAAGGATTGCATTCAAGTTTCTTGGTCCTGACATTCAAGGTCTGTTACCATCACGCCTGACCTCCTTTGGGTGCTAAGGACTGAATGACCTTTGTATGTTAGCAAGTGCTCTATCACCCAGCTACACCCTCAACCCTTGGTTTTTTTCAGACAGGGTCTCACTATATAGCCCTGGATGGCCTAGAATTTCCTGGGTAGACCAAGTTGGCTTTGAACTGGCAGCAATTCTCCTGCCTCTGCTTCCCAAGTACTGGGATTACAGGCCAGTGCCACCACTTGACCTTCCAAAACAGACTCTGTCATCATCTGTAAGTCCGCTGTCATCTGCAAGTGTTACCTGAGGATTCTTGTGTCTCACTGCTCCCTAGGTTTCCCATGAGTCAGAGAGTAGCTAGCTTTAGATGTTACACCTTCAGCTCATTAGTGAGATGGCTCAGCAGAGGACCCGGATTCAATTCCCAGCACCCATATGGCAGCTCACAATTGTCTGTAATTCCAGTCCCAAGGGATCTGACCCTCTCTTTTGGCCTCCACAGGCACGGTACACAGTAGTGTACAGACATACATGCAAGCCAAACACCCATATACATAAAACAAAACTAAAGGTAAAAAACAAAGTAAGTTCACTGGAGTCTTTCTAAAGGGAAGAGGCAGAGGTGGGATCATGATGAAAAGTAGAGAATGAGTGGGTATTAGGAGGAAGAAATGGAGTCAAGGGTTGGCGTGGAGGGCGGTGGAGAAACTACATACCTCTGGGCTTAGGCTTGGCGGTTGCAAGTCCTTAGGTGAGGATCTTTCCCTGGGTTGGAGGGGGAAGGACTGATCCTGACCGAGGGAATGAACGGCTTTGCTTTAGATGAGCCAGGTTGTAGTTGCTAAGTGAGAGGTCTCCTTGTAAGTGTGTGGGGGAGACTTGGGCATCTGCAGACCTTCGCAAAGGGACCCTGGCCCGATGTGAGGAAGAGTAGTCAAGGGAAGGGGACAAGAGAGGTCCAGGGCCGATGAAGGATGTACTTGACTGAAGCCTCTGGAACCCAGGCCGGGAGGGGAGCGGGGGCATCGAGCTCCGGGGCAACCCGAACGCCCAGGAGTCTCCACGGCAACAGTAGTCTGGTCGTCTGCGTGGGTGAGGTTTCCCGAGGGGGCAGCTTTGGATCTAGTTGGGACCCGGGGCTGAGCCAGTCTCTGTGTGGGCTGTGCAAACGCAGGAGCGGGCGGGACATGGTCTGGAAGGTTCCTGTACCGTTCCGGCGCTCCTCGGAAGCTGCGAGGACTTGAGAGGTCACCCGGGTTCAGTGGTTAGGGTGAGACCCAGGCTCCCAGGTAGGTAGCCCAGCAGGCTGAAGTTAGAGACCAATAGAATTGGGGAGGGGAGGGCCTTGCTGAGAGCGACCAATGGAATGGGGCGCGGGGCGGAGCGCCAGGCCAGCGTCACGCCGAGGACGCCGCGGGGCCTGCTTATCGCCGGTTCAGCGCAGCCCGGAGTCGCCCAGGCCTGAACTCCTCCCCAGGTCCCGGTCCCGACCCCGGGCCCGCGAGGACGCCGGAGGCCACCCCCCGGGGGTGGGGAGCGGAGCCGCGGGTCAGCTCTGCGAGCGTCCCGTGCTGGCCTGGCCGGCCCCGCCCCCGCCCCGGGCCATGGCCCAGCCCTTGTCCCGGCCCCTCATCCTATCCCCATCTCAGCCTTGGCCTCCGGCCACGCCCTCGCCCCACTTCCCAAACCTGCCCCGGCCTCGGCCCATGTCCCAGCGAATGCCCAGGTCCAGGTCCCCGCTCCAACCCCAGTCCCTGCCTCTGGCTTGGCCGCTGTCCCCGCCTCGGCCCTTGTTCCACCCCTTGTCCCAGTTCCCAGCCCAGCATCTGACCCTGTCCCATCCCCAGCGTTGGCTTAAGCTCCTGGCCCAGCCCCAGCCCGTGCTCCCGTCCCCATCACATCCACTCTTCCCACCACATCTTCTGCCCTTGTTTGAGCCCCAGTGCTCAGTCCAGCGCAGCCCGGTATCTCAGCCTCTGCCCCCATCTCTGTGTTTGCCCAAGTCTCTTCCACTGGCTCCCCGCCTCTCTCATACTCTGCCCCTCTCCCAGCCTCGACTCAGGTCTGGGCTCCAGCTGCCGCCAGCCCTATTGCTGCTGTTGCTGTTTTCTGTCCTTGGTCCAGGGGCTGGTGAGTGCAGAAACAGGAAAGATTAAGACAAGCATGGGGTTCCAGGGAGGGGTGGCTGGGAAAGTCAGGAGAGGGGGGACTTGGGGAGCTAGGTCACTGGGGAAGAAGTGGGGGTGGGAGAAGGGAATAGGGGAGAGAAGGGCTTACACCAGAAACGGATTGGCAGATTTCAAGAGTGGTGTTGCTCAGCTATTTCAGCAGGTGGCTAGCAGTCCCCAAAACAGCTCTGGGAGATCTCAGTTCTTGGTGTCCCCTTGGGTCTGGCTTTCCGCGGGAGGTCTTGGGGGCTTTACCCCTTCTGCAAAGTTTTGTGGAGATGACATAGTCCTGTAGAATGGAAGCTTCGATTCTAGCCCCCAGACCGTGGCCTAAACTTTTGAGATACCAACCACACATTCAAAAAAGGGTTTTAAAAACAGCTTTGAAGACAATATGTTGCATTGCATAGATGGATGTGGGTTAGCTGGCGTTATAATGAGCTTTCTTGTGCTGGGTCTTTCCCCAAGGGAATGTCACCGGACTACAGATAATTCTTGATAACTTTTAGAGCATGGCTGAACCTCAGCAGCACTCTACGGATGGGGAAACTGAGGCTCAGTGAGGGAGTAATTTGTTCAAAGTTGTAGTGTGTGTAAATAGCAGTAGTGGAGCTAGAGAAGGGTTTCCCAACTCCTGTGACCTCTGGTCGGCTCCCCTCCCTCCCCTCCCTCCCTCTGACTACATTCCAGGTTGATATACTCCTCCAGGGGCCCGAAGCACAATCTCTTTCCTCCCTAGTCTGTCTGCAAGGAGGCTTAATTCATAAACTCTTTCTCACTTGTCAGGTGTCAACCCACATCCATCATGTAGCCTGGGAAGTAAGTCACTTGGCTGGGAGGAGTGGCCCAGCTTCTTAATGGTTGGAATGAGGAAGTGGGGTTGGGGGAGGGCTGGGGGGTGCACACGACAGCGACACAGGGAGCCCTAGCCTAAGAGCAGAGATGGCCCTGCCGTGAAATGGCTCGTGTTCATGGCCTCAGCCCCAGGCCACCTTCTCTGAGTGGCACTTGAGAGAGGACGGAGATGTGCTCTGCAGTCCTTGGCAGTAACAGTTGTGGGCGGCGGAGGAGGTGGGTTTCATTGATCTCACTGGGCCAGCTTCCGTGTAGGGCTTGAGATCAGTGCATTCCTGAGGTCACAGTCCCGCAGAGATGTGTGGTCTCTATGTACCCGTGTGTATAACAGGGAATCTGTGGGAATGGTGTGTGCACAGCATGTGTCCATGCTTACATGCCGGTGATATGTATTTTATCTGAGTGCACGTGAGCTGATGTGTCTTTGGAGGGCGTATGTCATGTGTGAGGGTGCGGGGGACATGTGGCGTGGCCCACACACGCCTTAGCTTGGCCCGCGCCTCTTGTGAACATACCACGGGAGTGCTGCTCCTTTTGGAAGGAAGGACCCAGGGTGGGGGACTAGACTTTGACTGCTGACGGCCGTGCAGGCTGGGCACTTGCAGAAGCTGCTGGCAGTCAGGTTTTTGGTTTGGATGAGGGGAGTTTGCACACACTCCTGTGGTTTAGGCGGTGGAAAAGCACCTACATGTTATCATAGAAGGGGCGTCAGGACCAGTTCGTTTAGACTTGGATGGGGCCGTGCTTATGCTTCCCAAATCAAAGAGCGAGGTGAATAGGGCTGTTTCCCAAGGATCCACCTCACCTCCAGACTCCTTCTGAGTTCCTCCCGAAGCTCCAAGCCGCTACGCACTCCTTTTCCTACAGGCACATCCCGTGGCACCCCGCCACCCCCATAGGCACCGGTTTTCTTGGCGTGGGCTTAGGCAGTTGCATGATTCTCCAGGCCAAACAGGCTCTTTGTGCTCCTCTCTGGTGCTTAGCTTTAGAAGGAGCGGCCCGTCCCCATCCCCAGCAGAGGGCACTCCAGAGCGCTTCTTTCCGGTAACAATAGGATTCAAGGCTGTTGAGTTGGGGGCCTCCTGGAGGCCGAGCTCCTAGGAAGCTGTCTTCTCCGTTTGGTGAGGTTGGTGAGTCCCGGTGCGCTTCATCTGCCCTGGGTACCTCCCGCTACTGTCTGCGTACAGTTCCCAGCCTCTCCAGGATGCCAGGCAGTGCTCAGCTTGCAAGTAGGCAGTTTTTCTTATTGAAATGGATCGTCGGGTTGGCACAGCAGAGTCTAATCCTTTGGTGCTGTCATGGCCTTTGAGCCATTCTGGCCAGTGGCTTCTTCTTGTATAAGGTCCCTCTTGAGTGTGCACTCATTTAGTAGGCTGGCCAGCCTATCCTCCTTCGGCAGCCACCGTTTTCCTGCTGCTACTTTAAATACCCCATATTTGGGGTGGTGACTCCCATCTCCAGAGGTAGAGAGCATCAGATTAGGTAAGACCTGTGGGTGTTTCCAGTGTAGCTGAAGTTTCCAGAACCCTCCCTCCAGCCTCAACTGTGTCTCGAGGACTCTTGAGTCCTCCCAGTTTTCCACCTGTCCAGGGACATAGTCCTGGGCTCCTTTGGAACTCTTTTGAAATCCAGAGAGAGGCAGGGAGGAGGGAGGGATAATAGGCCAGGGGAGCTTTATATGGGGGCACGGCCTGCGTTTTGGAACTACCTTCTCCTGATTACCTTCACTGCTCTGACACGCCTGGCCCTGTGTGCCTGTCTGCCTAGAGCCTGTGACTCTCCTGCTCCTCACCCTGGCTCTGCTCCTGACAGCTGTGATCAGGGATCTGAGCATTTCAGCTAGAGTCCCCCCCTCACCTCCCCCCCCCCCACCCCCACAACCTGGTCTACTCTAAATAGTTCCAAGTGATTTAGGGTGCCCCTGAGTCACCGTGACTGCCTTCCAGGACCTCCTCCCGGGAGAACACCCTGGCTGCTAATTTTGACCCTCGAGGTTCTGATCGCTCTCCTCTCGTGGGCACTGTCGTGGTGGCCTGCCAGCTCCTGTTCTTGACTCTGCCACCCAAGCAGCTCCCTGGCAGCCTCACCACGCCTTCCCCTCCCCTCCCCTGCCCTGAGCTAGTATACAGACAGCTCTTGTGACGCTTCTGAGAAGTTTTACTGCTCCTAACCGCTGGGGAATAGAGAAGGGCAGAGAACAAACACGGTACACAGTTCTGCGCTGACTCCCAAGCCCCACAGGTGGAGTTCTAGCTTGCCCAGCGGCTTAAGAGCCTGTGCCAACACACACACACACACACACACACACACACACGCACACGCACACGCACACGCACACGCACACACGCATGCACGCACGCACACACTTGCACACTGTTTTGTTAGGCTTGGCGAGAGGAGAATAATACCCCCTAAGTGAGTGAGCATGAAGTTGTATGAAGGGTCCTGGGTTTCAGTTCTCAGTTTTCCATTTTTTTGCCATAGGAATTTTTTAAGAACAAGGTTTCGTGAGGAACAAACCGGATACTGGCTAGGGCAGCGCAAGCCCCAGCTCCTGGCTGCTGGGGAGCGTTTGTTGACTTGGTACACTGTCTTGCCTGCTGCCTCCTGGCAATGCCTCTGCCCCTGCCTTCTGCTGACCTCCTTCTGCTCCCCAGGAGGCCTTTTCCTGACGGATTACTCCACCTGCTCCCCCCGAAAGCTCAGCCCCTTCCGCTCCTTCGCCAGCACGGAACTCTTCCACTTCCACGTTCCCGAGGACACGTTCCTGGCGGTTTGGAACCTCATTATTTTCAAGGAGCAGGGAGGAACTTTTGGGGACCACTGCCCAGATCAAAGTGTAACTGTGTGAGTGTTCGATCCGCCCTTCTGTAACCCCAATTTCCAACCCTACTTCCTTTCCAAACTGTAATATGACTTTTTGAGGTCTAAGCATGCCTCCTGACCTGACCCTGACACTTATCCAGGTTGAAGTGTGACTGGGGGCCATGACCTCTGTCACCTGGCCACTTGTAACTACTATGAGTGCCTGAGCTGACCTCTTGCCCATTATGGACTTGACCCTTGACCTGGAACCACTTTGTGGTATATGTCAGTATGGGGAATCGTTTGTTTACT